GAGAAAACCAAAGAGTTCCAAGCTGAATATGTGCAGCAATTAAGTGACAGTTTGGAGCGTGCTTACTCCATTGCAAGAGATAGGTTACGGATCACGATGGAACGCATGCAAAATCAATATGACGTTGATGCATCGAAAAACAACGAAAAAAAGGACTTTCTCCGATGAATTGAATGGAAAAGTCCTTATACGGTGGTGAAGAGGATCAACGATTTGGTGTACAGGATCCAAGCTGGAAAGCGTTGTAAGGCGATAGTTGTTCATAGAAACAGATTGCACAGATACGTTAGTTCGCATCCACAAACGTGGCTAAAAGATTCAGAACCAGAAGAAGAACATATGAACGATAAATCCCAGCAGACTGACTTTGAACAGGACCTTTCAGGGCAGTTAAGAGATGTGCTATCTACAATTAACAAGAACATGCCGCGAAGGGGTACTAACTAGATCAGAACTATAACCAAATCTTCGAGACGAAGATTTCTAAGGGAGGGGGTGATGTCATGAGTTTATATGTAAATAGCGTGTGCCTATATGTAAATAGCGTGTGCCTATATGTAAATAGGAGTGCCTATATGTAGTGAGATGATTGCACATATATTCTGCGAGATGTAGAACATAGACGGTGATTTTGGAGGCGTAACAATATGTTGACACTCTATGAAACACGATGCTCGACACTCGAAACATTCTGGTCAACACTGACTTGTGATACAATATTGCACGTATTTTTAAAATATGCGGGCTTTTTTACACACTCTGTGTTGCTGATTTTAAAGATTGTAAAGTTACGCAGTGTTTGGACAACAAGTCAAGCAAAACATGACCTGTAGTCTACGCGCATGCATGGACTATAGATTTTCGTTGTATAAACGAAATGTTTGTCTTTGATATACTGTACCTTTTGAAAAAATCATCTGGCATGGTGAATGCTGTACGTGTATACTACATTATATAGCGCAGTGAAAGTGGTTTGTTATAGGTGAATACTAGACTAATTTTTAAATTGTCATATATTATATGATTGCATTTTTACGTTTAATAATTCCAAGATTTAACCAGCAAAACAACACAATTCAACCACAACTTGTAACATTGATTTTTCTATGAAATAGAGTAAAAGTTATTGCATAAGTAACTGTGGAAGTATTTACCTTATGATTTACTTTATTTGAGCAATCACTGCTTTATTTTTTGCTTCTTTCCGCTTTTACGTGTTTCCAAATTATTATTATGATATAAGATTTACAGTACGCGCCGGCGCGTACTGATTGGTCGCGAAGCGTGTTTCTATATTATGTTATAACTGTATAGAAACAAGGGACTTTTCCCGCCAAAATTGACAAGAGAAGTAATATGTAATGAGAATTTGCAATTGAATCGAATTATAATATTTATACAAAATCTTTTTTTAGTTATATTATAAAAGAAATAAAATCTTTTTATATCTTAATTATTTAACGAATTCGTCAACAAAGGATACCAAAAATGCGAAAAAACTACGTTCTTTTGATTTGATAACCTAACTTTTAAATAATATGACATATAAATTATAAGGATTTCGACTTTTATGCGCGTGTACAGTGGGGTTCAAAAGTCTAAATTCAGTCGATAATTTTTCTTATATTACGATAATTTACAACAAATGCATGATATCTTGTCAGTTGGAGATTGATTTGTTGATCTGAACTTGTGTAGTAATTTTTATGATACTATAATGCTTCCTATAGATATCTCGTTATTCTCATGGTATATTGGTATTTACGTTGAATAAGAGATGCGTATTATTCTTTTTGTGGGCCAAAGATGGAGGAGAGAGGGCCTTTGCAAAAGCGGGAGGGAAGTCTTTGCAAAGACTCAGGTGTGTATATTAAATGTACATGTACATACATACATGTACATTTAATATTATACACACTTGAGTCTTTGCATTATCACTATCAATTTAAGACGCACAGATATGGAAGGGACTAGACTGAGTTCCGAAATATCAACTATTCGAACCGTCTTGACCTTGTAGCTCAGTTGGAAGAACATTGGACTAGCAAACCAAAGGTCGCGGGTTCAATTCCCACCGTGGTCAAGCTAATTTTTCAGCTTACCCGGTTGGTGACTCCGAGTAGCAACATCACATGTACAAAATTAATACAGTAACGTTCGGACACGGTGCAGTGTAGCAAACCAATCGTAGGGCAAGCTTTTGCCACGTGAGATACGGTGCGACACGGTGGCCTGGTTTTGATTGCGCAATAAGTATGATAAACAATTAAAGTTCGATACTTCTTGACTTCGAACTCGGATATAGTTTATACATAACCAGTGGCGTAGCCAGCCTGACGATTTTGTCCCGCTATGTAAATTTCGAGTTATTACAATTATTCATGTCTTTAGAAATCTATTGTTTTCACAGTCAGTGAACATAAAAGTATTAACATAGCGGGACAAATCGACAGGCTGGCTACGCTACTGTACATAACACGTTAAACTGGTCTTTTCGCTGCATCCTGGCTGAATCGAATGCATTACTACATGAATCCATCGAAATTTCTCAAAAGCAAATCTAAGCGAACATATTTCAGGGGAAATATTGCTCTTCAGGCTACAACATGATGGAATTATTAAGAAAGGCTTCGCTCGTTCGCGTTATAAAATCGCAACGAGAATTTTTAAACTGCTATTTCCCGAGAGACAAATACTGAAAATTTTAGTTAATGTCCTTGTAAGGGAAGACTTTTAAGTTTTATATCGAACTATGATACAAATTTGCTTTGCGCTGTAATCTTTGAATAATTTGTGTATGCTAATTTCACGTTATGTTGAGCGTGAATGAAATATCAGTAAATACCTTATCAAAAATTTTGAAAATTGTTTTGTAGGTTTATGAAAGTACAGGGATTTACAATATTCGCTGAAGGATATTGTACCGTGTTTGATGAATATTTAATTTGTTTGGCGCGTTTTGTTTTTTCACTGGTAGAACCAAAACTCAGAAAATGTTAGTCAGTTCGGAGTTTAAAATTTGGAAATTTTCCAGGGTCCATAGCCCTTTCGCCCCCCCCCCTTCCCCGCTATTGGAAAATTTTTAGTCCTATATGAGACGGTCAGATTTTGGGCTGGACCTGCGCCTGTTGATGGGATTTCTCGAAAAATTGAAAGAAATTGAGATAAGGTTATAATTATGTGTCGAACGAAAATCGGCGAGAGCAAGGACCAAGGGCCATTCCTGCAAAGGAAAATGGAAAGAAAGCAGAAAGAAAACCAGTGGACTGTCCTTAATCAATGGTGGAATAGAATTGAACCAGTAATCCTAACAAAACTGGTTCACTCTATCCCACAAAAGTCAAAGCTGTTTTCAAACGTAAAAGACGTGATAGACGTGAAATTTGTGTTATACCCTACTGGTTCTGCCCTATTCCACCATTAGGGAGATTTAGTATGAGGACGTGAAGGTCAAAGACGACGTCAAAATGGCGAGAAAACGGCGTGGCATGCCAATATTTGGGCCATCACGCCATTTATTCGCCATTTTCACGTCGTCTTTGACGTTCACGTCCTCATGCCCTATTGATTAAGGACGGCCGACTGGTTCTCCTTCTCCTTTCTTTCCATTTTCCTTTCCAGTAGCCAGGAATAGCCCTTGCATGGTCTCGCAGATTCTCATTTAATCGAATAGAAACTTCAGTCACAAAACAGATCAACATATCCAGTCTCCAACTCACAAGATATCTTTTTTTGTAAACTATCGTAATTATAAGAAAAATTATCGACTGGCCTCAGACTTTTGATCCCGACTGTATGTGCGTATCAAAAACGCGATAAGTGGAAAGCATGCGGAGCTCTTACATCACAATAACAATCCTATAAAAGTTCACAAGATATATATAACAGGTGGCCACCGGGAATTTGGATCCCTTAGACAGTCGGTAGCATCTATAGCTTTGATAGTTTGCAGTGGCGTAACCAGCTCGACAATTTAGTCATGCTATACTAATATTTTGGCGTTCATTCACTGTGAAAACAATGAATTTCTAAATAAATGAGTAATGATAATAACATAAAATTGGCAAAGCATGACTAAATCGTTAGGCTGGGTACGCCACTATTAGTTTGAAGCTTGAAAGTGTCCATAAAGTGCCTGCTTATAATGGCATAATGCAGCATGATCGGGCTATGTTTTTTACCGATGACTATTTTTTACCGATCAAATCATTATTAGCAATAATTATTAGCTATAGACTGATTTCAGCTTTCACTAATAATAATAATAATAATAATAATAATAATAATAATGGTTTATTAACAGTACTTCCACAGAGTGGCTCTTCGCCTGTTAATTCTACTAATATACTATATCTAAAATTCTAAAACACTCTGTTCTTATAAAAGTTTATTTGGTCGGGCTAGTTCAGTAAAATAATTGTGTTCTTGGTTTGAAATGACTTTGCGTTGCTGCATGCATGTATCTGTATTTTTTTCTAGTAATATTAAATAAATAAATTATATGTTATTTACCGGCTGCGAGGTCCAGATATAAAAATATTTTTCCCGAGGTATGAAAAACGACCCAAGGCCACAGGCTGAGGGACCTTTTTGAGACCAAGGGGAAATATTTTCTATCCGTATCGACCAAAACAGTAGATAACGTATTTATTTTTTTACGAAAAGCGGTGTTCGGTCGTATTAATATTGTGTAGTCAGACTCAGCAATGGCCACAAAAACATAAACAATTAAAACCTGAACTGGTTAATTTACTAAAATTCACTTGAATGCGCGATTTTCTTCTTTTAATAGATGTGAACGAGTGGTTTAATTACTGATATTTAAATATGGGCTCTTATACATCAGAGCATGCGTAACTAATTATTCGTTAGCATCCGTTAAAAGAAGAAAATCGCACATAAAATCGCAGCAAAAATCGCAAGTGTAAGCGAGCCTTTAATGGTATTTTTATAGACTGCGTGGATCTGTATGCAATAAAAATAACTGATATATTTTTTAGTCCTTGAAAGCTGATTGAAGAAGGAGAAAGTGATGAAAAGCCACACAGTTGCCCTCATTCTCCTTGTTTTTGTTCTTATTCAATGTACTTTCATCGAATCTTGGTTTTGGCGTCGCCGTCGCCGTCGACAAAGCAGTTGCACGTACCCTATTTCAAAATACGGGAATAATGGTAGGATACTTTATAATGCTTAACTTATTAGAAAATAATTATGTACTGCGTTGTGCGTAGTTGCAGATTCTTACAATTCCCGTCGTCAGCGTCACAAACGCGTTCGTTGATAAATAGGTACATGTAGATGCATTTTATAGTGCATTCATTTGATGATAAGGAGTTTTTTGGTGAATTTTGTACTCCAAAGTCCAACGACTACGAGTTTTGGCTGATAGCGCAAGCAAACAACGCGCGAGATTAACGAATCACGGTGTTTACTTGTAAAGCTTCCTGATAACAAAAATAAAATCACAAATATGCAAAAGAAAACTCTCTGCTAAAACAACCTAATATGCATTTTATAGGTCAACGAAGTGACTATTTTTATGGCACAACAAGTCTCTTTAAAGGAAGAAAACGAGTTTTTCAAGTAAGCCCATGGAAACTTCGCCATAGCTTGATCATGTTCCGTGGAAAGATATTTGAGTGGGGTTTGGGAAGTCCGAAAACCTACAAAATGAATAGGAGCCCAAGTCATTGTAAAATACGCTGGAATTGGGGTAGTAAAGGCACGAGCAAATGCCGCTTGAGCGATGCAGAGACCTGGACCCGAAATTATCGTAGGCGCTACGGCAGGTTTAGGCTGTTCAGGAACAACTGTCATTACTTCGTTAACCGATTGATAAAATACTTGGACAAAGATTGCGGGCGTTGAGAACCAAATATTGATACGGACGATTATGATTAACGGACAACATAAAATTTACCCTTCATACATCTATTCAAGTATAGCATTTCCTCATTTAGTAACTAGCACTAGCAAATAGCAAACGTAAACCTGTAACACGCATGTAGTAATTGAAAGCATTTTTTAATGATAGCAAAGTATATAATGATAACTATTTCTTCTTTGCAAAGCCATGTATCCTTAAGGCATCATCAATAAAGAAATGTAGAGAATAATACCATCATATCCATCCGCAGTTGGATTTCCATCCAAAAAGCTCTTTGTCTATAGCCAAAAACGCCTGGTTACTTTCGTGCAGGCATGCTTGGCCAGAAGAATATTGTGGTCAATTGAATCATCCGCAGTTCATGAATAGGACATGGATACCGTCGAACATCTCTTGGATATGGAAGTAAGGGTAGACAACGACCTCTTATGAAGGTTAAGCTCTAGTATTGACGAAAGTTGAAATTTGGGGGGGAGGGATCTAAGTTATAGGACAGATTTTCTGCGTGATAGTAAGATGGATTATTTTCATTAACCTATGCCACCAACCACAATAACTTGCATGGGCCATTAGTGCTAATTCGTTTGCATAACTTCGAAGATACCACGGAGGACTATTGTTCACTGTGGCTTTCTTAAGCTGAGTGTCTCAGGGCTTAGTTGACTTGGGCAATGGAAGGTTAAGATGGGTTAGTATCCTAAATAGATGTTCCATACCTTGAATCTTTAAAAGATACAATTTAGCTCCTAACTAAAGGCTATGTTGCACGGTGCAACTTTTTTGCAATTTCCAATGCAATTCTACTTTTAAGAGATGTTAATTAGTTAAGAGTCTTTAAAATATAAGTTAAGAAACGCCATGGAGTGAAATAAAGACAAATGTTCGGTAGTTGCCAAATTTACATCTCTCAAAAGACGAATTGCATAGCAAGTTGCAGGAAAAATTGCACCTTATAACAGGGCCTTTAGGCTTGGTAAAACATTTTCGAACTCTATCAGCCATTTCAATTAAACTGAGTTAATGATTTTTCGGTAACAAAGGTCGTGGGTCCCTGGCAGTTGCCGCTAATCTAAAAATCAATTTATGCCCTTTGTTGCACCCTTCAGCCTTGGATTTATGTTATCTACGTCTCATCGTTTTCCCTAATCCTAAAAGCAATGCTTTGCGCATAAATTAGGTATATTAATGGTCATCCAGGCGGTAGCTAGAAAATTAATTAGGAAGGATTTAGACTCTTGGGAAAACAGCACTGACCATTTCCCTCGGTAGCATACATTAAGTGTTATTTTTATATAGGTGCTGTTATTTTTACATAGGTGCTATTTTTATATAGGTGCTGTGTATTTTAAATGTGATTGGTTTATTCATAGTCACTTTAAATAAATGCAACGTTTACCGCAAGGAAAACAAGTAAAAAATTGTTGCCCGCATATTGTCATAAGAATGTAAATTGGCACATCTTCGCACTCTGACCCACACGCAGGGCATTTTCTCGCCTTATGGTTTCTGCCACAATTTCTGCAGTCTAAATTTCTCCTGTCCACCATGCCGTCTTTGTTCTGTTTACTTCCGAAGACTTTTATCGCTTTCCTTCCGCCCTTTGTTTACGGCATTGACTTCGTATTCCCCATGGAAAAATTTCTATTTGTTGCTATAAGTGACTTCATGCGAACGACAAAATCAACAGCTTTACCTAACGATAGTTCAGACCCTTCTCTTAATTAAAAGTCTATCACTTACTTTGTCAGATTGAACTCTAGCAACTAATTGACTTGTTATCAAATCGTTTTGTTACAGGGCTGAGAGGTTTGAATATTTTTCGAACAAAATATTTGGAATAATTTGTTCTGAAACTATAAATTATTATCTAGCATAGCAAATTATAACCGAACTACTATAATACACTGGCGGACAAAAAAAAACTGCTCAAAGCAAGTTAAAATGCTTTCAACTGATCGTGAGCGTAACTGCATGTCCCTGTAACAACATATACGAGTAAAATCAATATAGACTAAATTACATGCTATAATTGCTATTTGAAATATTAATATTTTGTTGACCCTCCTTTGACAGCTTTACATGCAAGAAGGGGCATACTTTCTGTTAAGGTGGTAATCTTAGTTAAAGGAAATTCATCTTAGGACGCTTTGTGGATTAATTCATCTCTTGTACTGTCCCCTTGACATTGCCCCACAGATTTTCAATGGCGTTAAGGCCTTTTGAATGTGCAGTCTAATCCATTTCTGTCACTCTCTCTTCCTTAAACCATTGCTTGACTATCTTGGAGGTGTATAAGGTTGTATTGCATTATTGAAAAGATCTAGAGAATTATCCAAAATGCCTGTGAAGCCCTCCCCTATATTTGCTTTTTTTTTATGAATTTTTGTCTGAGCAGTTCTTTTGACCGCTAGTGTATAAATTATTAAAATATTCATTGTTGCGATGGCATATGGTAAAACGCGGACTGGACTAAATTAATAAAACCCGGACTGGACTAAATTAGTAAAACGCGGACTGGACTAAATTAGTAAAACGCGGACTGAAATCGATAAAATTTCTTTAATTGTGATTTGATATAGCCTATAGTTTGCCCAAAAATCTCTCAATGCATGCCAGAAAACTGTTTTACCGAGAGCAATCCGTATGGTTCCGATCGACGTCGACGAAGGACGACGTCACTACGCGCCAATCGCTCCAAAATCAAAAATCTTGGTGCATGCTTGCGTCCATCGTTTAAACATGGAAGCAAGCTTTAAAATTCCGACATTGATAAAAAAGCTCAAACTAGGGTCCAAGGATAGTGCAAAGTTTTCATGCCCTGTAATACCTAAGCAACCAGACGTTTGACCAACATAAACATTTTGACTTATGCCAGTAAGAATATAATGAACCAGATTAAACATTAATCAAAAGGAAATTAAAGTACTCAAGTTACGTTAGTCGCGAATACTGTCACTATTAAATTATAATTTTAGTTGCCCGTGTAAACCAGGCGCGATTTTCTCAGTTTAGTCTCTTTTCTTCGTCGAACAACCGTGACTACATTCACTACATTAATATGATGGCACCAATTTACCCGTCATTTCATAAGAACAGCCAAAATAGTTGCCTTGTAAATAATGTAAATAAACCGCGGTGCAATATGTCTATGATACTCGACGGAACTTCGACGCGTAAATCGATACAAAACAACATACTTATTATCAATACTGTATACCACCAAATGATTTGATTACTACACAAAATGTCCGTTTTGTATAGGGTATCGACTTGCTGTCGACATAATATATATTCGTGTAAGAGATCGATCTATCAATATATAAACTAACCTCTTAGCTCTATTTATGGAATAAACCTTCCAAATTATATTTGTGTTGAATTGAATGCTCATAATTCATAACATAAGATGATAAATTGCGTAGATTCTGAAAGAATTGCTCGATTTTTACGCCCGGAGTGTTTTGAAGCAATGCTCGTCGCTCCTCGTTTCTTTACATCGTGAATAATGTTCAATTAATAAGGCTCTACGCTTCCTTTCCAAAACTTTGGGAAAGTATATACGACTTTTTAAATCTCTTGTTGTGTTAATAATTATAAATTAAAGAAATTTTATCGATTCCAGTCCGTGTTTTACTAATTTAGTCCAGTCCGCGTTTTACGAGTCCAGTCCAGTCCGCGTTTTACCATATGTCAGGAGTCGTCACATATACGGTAATAGCAACATTTGAGCAGTTCTTTTCGACTGCCAGTTTAGTTGTATTTAGGCGTTTTAGCCCTTTGTTTTGTACAGTTTACTATAAACTCACGAGGTTATAGGTTGACACAATATGATAACATATGCAAATTTCACCGAGAGATAGAAAGTTAATTTTGTTCAAATTTTCTGGCTGTGCTATATAATTTTAGTTACATACATTTCGCAATGTAATCAATGTAAATATAAGTATACTTAATTCGTACTGAAGACGGCCGGCTATACTTACGTCGAAAAATGTTTGTAATAAAATTTTTTCCCTTTATATCGAATCCTTAATTTGATCAAATATCAACAATTATTTACATCGTGCATGTTCTTTGTCTTACCGCTGTTTATATTTTTCGTCTTCCGTTCCCGCAATATATCAATGATTCGTCTGATCCACGTCGCTTTACGACAAAAATATTCTTATTCAAATAATGTGTTGAACGGGCCTTATATATAATATATTAACAATAATATTTTATTAAGAATTATTATTTTTAATGTATTAGTTACTTGCAGGTGAGCGAGATACACCTTGAAAATTGACTAAAAAATTTCCAACAGGAAATACAAGTGCCGTCGATATAGGTTATACTTCTAGTTTGACACGCAACTAACAAACACAAGATGAATACATTCCACAAAACTTTCTATAGTAGAGTTCTTATTCCAATGTTGTAAAACCGAAATTGTATTCTTGTCTAATATTGTTGTCTAATATTGTTATCTTATTTTTGTAGAAAAATACTGATCGAGCGGCATACAACAGAAAATAATTGTACTAGAATATACTGTGTGTTTTGAAAAAGTTAACTTTGCCACTATGCATGCTGTGTTGCCCGTGTATATACATACGTAATGTTTAAAATTCTTAAATCAAGAAAATCATGTGCCCTTTCGTACTAGCACAGCATTGAATGCCGGAACCGGAGCATGCATTACGTGCTCCGTCTCGGCAACATGTAACCTTACAATTAAAAGATCATAACAATTGACATTAATTCAGTCAGCTAAAAAATTTCTTGTTGACAATATTAAGATCGATTATTCCTGCCGCTAACGAAATTTTTCATTGCGAATTCTTCATCTTTCTTCGTGGTTGCATTGAAGAGGTTTGTTATAGGTGAATATAAACTATACTAATTTTTAAATGGTCATATGATGGCATTTTCCCGTTTAATGTTACTAGTCAGATTAGTCCATTCCAGGCAATAGCTAATTCCAATATTCAAGGAGCAATATAGGCTAACGGAATTCAGCCAACCAATTCAACACAATTTGTAACTTTGCATTTGAAGTAACTGCAGACGTATTTATCTTATAATATTTACCGAGTTGAAAGAATAAAAGTTTTGCTTTAGTTTCGAATGCGCTAACAAGCACTGGATTCTCGTTGTATAAACGTGGCTTTGATATAATTATACATATGCCTTAGAAGGTCTATAAAGTTTCTACCCCAAAAGTCAGTTCCTATTTAGTTCCTACCCCCGAATTTTAAGCTATTTCAGACCTACACTGGTCAGTAATATAAATAGACTGTCAGTCATTTAAATTCTACCAATTGCAAGACTTTGTCTGCCCATGTTTTATACTGTTTTCCTACAGCATAATTATATCAATTTATCTTCTTCCCTTTTAGCATAATATAATCGCTTTTAAACTAAATGTGTCTGATCGGTATATTTGTCCATAATAATGTGCCAAGTACATCTATAACGAGCCAGGGGCCAGTTGTTCAAAAGCCGGTTAGCTTAACCCTGGGTTAAAGCAAATTTTTACACGAATTTTTTTGATCGCTTGTTTGTAAAGTTGAATATATTTTTTCATAAATATTTTCTGGACCGATAGATGTTATATTTTCTAAAGTTTTAAGTCGAACAGTTGTTCAGAAGCACCTAAACTAAAACACCGGGTTAAAATTTAACCCAGGGTTAGCGCTAACCTAGCTTTGAACAACTGGGCCCTGCAGTTATACAGGCGCGGATCCAGCCGAAAATCTGACCGTGTCATATAGGAGGAAAAATTTTCCGGTCGGGGGGGAGGGGCAGTGGTCATATAGGACTAAAAATTTTCCGGTCGGGGGGGGGGGGCTGGTTGAATGGCGAAGGGGCTATGGACCCAAAATTTTGGATAAGGTATTTAGAAACTGCATTTCCCGTGTTAGTCAGATGTAGTGTTTAAAATTCTTAAATCAAGAAAATCATGTGCCCTTTCGTACTCGCACAGCATTGAATGCCGGAACCGAACCATGCGTTACGTGTTCCGTCTCGGCAACATGCATGCAACCTTACAATTAAAAGATCATAAGAATTGACATTAATTCATTCAGCTAAAAATTTTCTCGTTGACAACATTAAATCGATTATTCCTGCCGCTAACGACATTTTTCATTGCGAATTCTACAGCTTTCTTCGTGGTATCATTGAAGAGATTTGTTATAGGTAAATACTATACTAATTTTTAAATGGTCATATGATTGCATTTTCCCGTAATGTTATTCGCCAGATTAATCCTTTCCAGGAAATAGCTAATTCCAATATCCATGCAGCAACGTAACGAAATTCAACCAAGCAATTCAACGAAATTTGTAACTTTGCTTTTTCTATGAAATATAGAGTAGAGGTTATTGCAGAAGTAACTGCAGACGTATTTACCTTATAATATTTACCGAGTTGAAAGAATAAAAGTTTTGCTTTAGTTTCGAATGCGCTAACAAGCACTGGATTCTCGTTGTATAAACGTGGCTTTGATATAATTCTGCATATGCCTTAGAAGGTCTATAGAGTTTCTACCCCAAAAGTCAGTTTCTATTTAGTTCCTATACCCCCGATTTTTAAGCTATTTCAGACCTACACTGGTCAGTAATATAAATAGACTATCAGTCATTTAAATTCTACCAATTGCATGACTTTGTGTGCCCATGTTTTATACTGTTTTCCTACAGCATAATTATATCAATTTATCTTCTTCCCTTTTAGCATAATATAATCGCTTTTAAATTAAATGTGTCTGATCGGTATAATTATTTGTCCATAATAATGTGCCAAGTACATCTATAACGACCCAGAAGGTCAGTTATACAGGCGCGGATCCTGCCGAAAATCTAACCGTTTCATATAGGACTAAAAATTTTTCGGTCGGGGGGGGGGGCGGTGGGCATATAGGACTAAAAAATTTCCAATCGGGGGGGAGGGGGCCGTGGACATATAGGACTAAACATTTTCCGGTCGGGAGGGGGGGGGGTGGTGCGAATGGCGAAGGGGCTATGGACCCTCCGAACTCCCACGTTCGATACGGTCTAGATCCGCGCCTGTATATATTTCCCTTTCTTGATTTTACAAGACTGACCTATTTTACATCGTGCCCAAAAGCATAAGCCCGATTGGAAGAGCAGCGATAGTTCACAAAAAGGGTCTAACATTTCAAAATAGTTTTTATGCCTTACGTTCTCACTGTACGGCTAACTCACGATTTCTTTTGTTGAGAATTTGGTAGCATACCATAGCATTACCATCAGTATAACCAATTATTTCAATCGGCTGTGTTAACCAAAGCCGGTGTCTGCCTATATACATTTATACGCGTTTCTTAACTTCAACTCCTATGCGCGCAACGCATAAAATTATGCATCCAGCATTATAATGATGTAGTATAGCTGAACCTAAATACGAAACAGGTAATTATTATATATGAGTAAACTGATATATTCAAAGAATTGCAGTTGACGCAGCGGTGTCCATTGAAGATATTTAAATATGACAGGATACTCAGCTCCGGGTTCGTGGCTCCGGATTCGCGAAAACGAAGCTGGCTATCGACTGGCTAGTTTTCATACAAACCGATGTGGCCGCTTCGCTTTTAATGAAAATAAAAAATTGAAAAAGGTTATTTTTCTTTGTTATATTGTTAAGAACAAGACCATAAATGAGAGTTTTGTTTTATTTAGCTTGCTCGCAATATAGCTCCATAAAGTTGGCTATTTTTTGCGCAAAGTTGACTGGTTAGCAGCATGGGCAACCGAAAGGCTTTATAAAATTTAGATTTATTAGCTTTAAGACGAGTTTTTGTAAAAACTAAAATATGGCCATTCGAGAGAAAGCTTATTAGAATATCTCTTGCCTATAAAGATATTTTCCGGATGTTTTTAAGGAATTCCTTTATATATAGAATATAGAATTGACATTTGAGATTGTAAATTTCTCACCATGAGAAAAAATTGTTCATACAGGGCAATTAGCTTTTCTCATGATGCATAATGTGCTGCCATTTTTGGGGTACATTTTTGTGACTACCGCGTAAGCGGTAGCCACTATATGTCAGAGGCTTGCTTGATTGTTTGCTTGCTTGCTTTCTTAAATGCTTGTCTTGGACCAAGACGTCACACTCAGCACTACGTCACACAGCTGATGTACGTCACACTCGGCAGTTTTCGCCATTTATCGCTAACCTTTCCGGTGCAATCAAACATACAATTCAAATGCAAATTATTTTAGTATCAACATAGCTTTTCTATATGTACGTTGTTTTGCTTACATTTTTGAGCTGTTTGAGCTTTGCACGTCTTACTCAAATATAATAATCAATAATATTTAAACGACACATATGGTCTTTTAGTGTAACTTATATTTGTATACGCTATATTTGCTTTATTTTGGATTTTCCACAATGCTACTAAATGTTTTCTATCTGTCAGTAAGGTTAAGGAGACATCATCGTTGACAAACAGAAAACTTTTTAAAATCCATAACCCCAATAACCATGTCATCGAATATACATATTTAGGTCGAAGCGCAGTCCAAAATTATTCGCTTATTGAAGTTTCTCTGTGGAGTTTCAAAGTCTTTATTGTGAAGATATAAACATTTGAGGTAAGCTGTATATTTAATTTTTTAATTTAATGTATGTAAGTCAGTAAAAGCTAGCTGTATAACAAATCTCTATATAGCTATATCAATAATATCGCTGACTTGTACTCAAATGTATTATTTTCAATCATAGTGCAATCTCATCAGTTGACTCGAATATATGTCTAGGTGTTGATCTTTATAATAGGTTAAAGTTTGACATTCATATACTATGTCCCTTTCCCTCACCAGCTTACTCCTTAGGAGCGCCTTGGGACCATAGGAGGCGGTTTAAAAGGAGAAAGGAATGTTGTGTTTCTGAGCTAATTTATTATTCCCAATACATTAACATAAATTATCTCATTAACTTACAATGTGAGTCCCACTACATCTCCCTTTTTCATAAGGTTACTAATAACGCGTCTAATCATTGTTCATCCTGCTAACTCAGACTTTACGATCAACTTGAACTGTTCTTACGAGTATGATATATATTTATGCTAGTCCTAAGTTTTCTCTTGCTTTTGAAGAACATTGGCAACGAAAATTTTAATTGCCCTTTTCTGTTATTGCAGAAGGAATACATAATTTCCCATTTTCGTCTTCCCAGCTGTTTTTGATTTTGCTAAAATTTGCATTATTGTCCGCCATTTTGAAAAAAGATGTCTGTGCTAATTTATGTCTGAATATAATTATTACTATGAAGTCATTGGCTACGTTCGGTCAAATGTGGCCATATAGATATTATTGAATAGAACATTTCGTAATAATAGCAATCATTTTCTCTAAATCTTAGTATATAAGCGTTTTAATAATCGTGTATATTAGTTGAATGCCCTTACGTTTCCGTTGCCGACTTCACGCTTTAGAAGGAAAGGAAATAAATCAAATGCAATTCGATTTTTTGTTAATTAAAATATCTAATTTATTTAACCAGTGTTTCTGCGCAAAACGAACCTGTAGTTTTTTAAACGCGCTCGTGCTTCGGATGCCGACCTAGCACCCTTCGGAAATATTTTTACGCAAGGGAATTAGCAGACAAATAATATTTGGCAAATGTTTATGTACAACAATTTCGACGCTTTGCAGCAATTGTGAATTGTTTTGTCGGGAAGCCGGACGAACAAGCTTGAAAAATAATTTGCAATTAAGTCGGCATGACAAAATGATGGCATATTAGATCGTATGTTGTTATTTCTTTGATGGCATGTGATGGTATTAATCGCACTTAAAACGAGCGTCCCCTACCTCATTTTCGTATTCAATCCGAAATGCGAAGGAGAAAACATGTATTGCTCGTAATGCGGTTGTAATTATGTAATAGCGACTTCAGAAAAAACGCGAGTGCTCTCAATTTCTTTCGCTTTCCAATTGGAAAATCGGAGGGGCCGGTTGTTCGAAAGGCGTTTAGCTTAAACGCTGGATAAGCCAAAGTTCAAAATTACTCTCATGCATCTTGTGAATGACTAAATCTGCATCGTATGCATTAAATATGTACTTCCATTGACAATTAAACTATTTACCTCGAAATATTTCAGCTCAGTTGTTCAATAAATATATAGTTTAGCTTTCCATTTTGAACTTATCCACCGTTTAAGCTAAACGCCTTTGGAACAACCGGCCCAATGCAGCACAGCAGAAGAGCAGAAAAATATGGATAGATTTTTGCAAGAGGAAGGATGGCGAGCAGTAGAATTTGTTCACTATGAAATGTCATGGGCATGAAAGGAAAAGTCATTAATGATTGCGAATGGCCCAGAATTATATTTACACATGTGTTCTTTGTGGCAAAAATGAATTTTTTTTCCACGTCATTGCCAGGTGATATTTCCTATTTTACAACTATTTTTAATATGTATATATAAGTTAACATAATAAAGCCTTGCGGAACAGATGTAAAAAAATTTCGACATCAATATCGTCCTGCCATAGCAACAATAAAAGAGTTTTTATAACGGTTCGTTTTACATCTCCGTAACTTGAACACCCGCCTATTGCGTAAGTTATATTAGCATTCGCTATTCATGGGTGGTTGTAATGCGCGTGAAGTTAGTGGTTTGGATTTTCCACAATACTACTAAATGCTTTCTGTAATTAAGGTTAAGGAGACCTGATTCGATTAAAGCATCGTTGACAAACAGACAACTTTTTTACTGTAAAATCCATAACAGACATTAAATATCGCAGATAAAATATACAACGGAGATTTTCTATGTGTATAATATAGACTACAGTATATGTGATGTCATGCCAACTCAAAAGCAACACAACTCTCCAACTTGGCACACATGCATGACATGGATAGTAAGTAAAATATGCATAACCAAGACATAATATCACTCCCTATTTTCAATTGGCATTTAATATCGCTTCCCCCACAATATACTATAAAGGTAGCCACAATGCAAGCTGCAGAGTTTTTTAAGATATAGCTTTACATGATGGCAAAGCCGAAGACGAAAAATATTAAACCCAAATAAAGTTCGGAAGTGCTTCTCCGTTTACGATGGTGAACGGAGTCTTTTTCTTTTCAAGTATTCCAGGTGAACCCTTACTAAACATCTATTGCATGGATAGTGTTTTGTAATGACATAAAATAGAGAGAACGTCAGATGCATTCGAATTCAACTTTTAAATAAAATTCGGTCTTCCGGTCGGCATGCAAGCTATGCATCGTCTGTACTTTACTGTATTAAAAAGAAATAAACACAAAAACATTTTAGTCAGTCACTTACTTACTTTTTACCATTTTTACATTATTACAGTGGTATAAAGCTAAAAAATACAATGATTGATATTTAAGAATAAATTTCAATTAATGAAACCATTTCAGTCATCAGGTGTGAAAATTATGTAATCTGATTGTCACTTTTCAATCATTTTTGTCATAAAAACATAAATTTTGCACCAAATATATATCGTCAAATTTTCCATATTTCCCAGACGAAAGGAGCCAAAAATATTAATGAAAACACCACAAAAATGTCTCAATTGCATGAAAGGCAAAACTTCCTAACTCGATAAAGTATGATACCAACGATGAAACCAAGCTAATATCAAAAAATATGTAAAACAACCACGAAAACCGGGATAAAAAACGGCGAAAAACTTCGTACTGCAAAACTGTGTACTGTTAATAATATTGTATAAATTTGCGGGTTTTTTAACCCACGATTGAACATTCATGTTTGTTCACCTCCAAAACATCATCAATTTTATCGATCTTTAAAACTGAAAATTTCAGGGCAATTCGAGATGCCCAAGTTTTTACTATCGAAATCTATTCACAGCAGTTGCGATGCCATACTTGACCTTTGAAGATAATTTGCCTTCCAACTTATTTATGCGCGACTTCAAATATATATTTTCATTCGTTAATTAGCATAAATTCTCCTCATTTCTTAAATAATTTGATTTTGCGCTAAAGGCTTTCTTTTAACATTGCAGATTTGAACTAAACTGATGTTTTCTTTCAACTCACGGAATTCTTCTGTAATAGGAACCGTGTTTACAATGATTCGCTGTTGTTGTGGGATTGAACATGCAATCAGTATTTTGTGCACGAGTTATATCCACATGCAATAGCAGTATGCGACAAAACTTCCTCCTGAAACGATTCGTCAATAAAGTTCTGTAGGTCTTGAAGATTTTGACAACCCTGTCCTTAGCTTTGACTTAGAGTGGTGGTGTTCCAACGACTTCAATGAGACTTTCAACGTTGTAGCTATATATCATATACGATTGAGGTCCAACTTGCGCGTTATATTGTTAGGTTTCTTGCCAGGATAACCAAGTATTGGTTGTGTTAGAATCATATCATATAAAGATTTTCAATGATTTAGAGTTTGCAGTCAACTTAAACCGTCATCATAACTACTATACAAAACATCACTGTATTGATACTTATCGTTCAAAATAGATGCAAAGTTGTTCGAAAATTCAACTGGAGTTTCTACCAAACGATTGTCCGCCATGTTGTTCATTGGTGGAAGATTAGGGTACACCTCCACCTTGGTGCGCTTCCTTTTTCGGTTCCTCCAAGGCAGTTTAGTTTGTATGCAAATTTAACAAAGAATGGTTTCAATTGGTGTTTATGAGTATACTTTTAAATGCATATAAAATTGTTTATTATTATACTAGAAATACATTGCATGCAAAGTCCCCTCGCCTGAAGCAATACACATATATTTGCATCGCTGAAATTCTATAATACTCATTTCTGCTGAATGATCGAAGTCGTAAAGTAAAAGCCTATAACTTGGTACAATTATAATCATAATTGTGCTACGAGTAGTTTTAAATACTATAATTTGTAGCGAAATTTCAATTACTTTTTAAACATTCAATTCACCTTTAAAAATAAATACTTTCCAAATCAAAATCATTTCAACGAAATTGACGAATAAATTTAAAGAGGTGTGATACATTTGTTGATAAATCCACATAAAATTATTAAACTTACAAAATACTTACATGCTTTAAAATATAAAATCTACCCATTTACCTGTTCAAAAACACTTTAAAAATGCTTCAAAATCGTAGATTTTTTACCATCCATTTGAATGAAAGTTTTTCTATCCGAAGGCATCTTTCACATTATATTTTAATCAATTTTACGACTAAATTTATCGTATATTTTTAAGACCATCCAAATGAAAAATATTATTTAAAAAAAGTTTTATAATTCAAAATATCAGTTATGCTAACGTGAACCCAAATTTTAATTCAATGGCAATCGCACGTTTGTAAACGTTTGCTAGTTACCAGTTTTAACTCGTTTTAAACTCACGCATGCGCATAACTGATGAATTTAGTGGATTCACATTATTGCGAGGAATATGAATATATTTATTAGGTAAAATATCGTGACAAAATCACTGAATCGACAACAGAACAAGAACATGAACACGAGGTACTAAAATACATACATCAAACGTTCGAACAGAAGTGGACGTCATAAACTATTTTTAACACTCCTTCTCAATCGCAGTTCGAATGTTTTTCCTTTTAATTAGGTTTAACTGTAACGCCTGTTAGTTTACGCAGTTTCTTAAATTGTTCCTTTGGAATACCCTTAGTAAATAAATCGGCTAACATGCTGTTTGTTGGACAGTAGAGAACAGTAATTGTTTTCTTCTCTACTTGGTCTCGTACAAAATGATATTTTATGTCTATGTGTTTGGATCGCCCATGGAATTGTGGGTTCTTGGACATGGCAATAGCTGATTGATTGTCCATAAATGGTAATGGGTTCTTAACATCTATGCCAAGATTTGTCCAACAATTGTCTTATCCACAATGCTTCTTGAGTAGTAGCAGACAATGCAATGTATTCGGCTTCAGCCGTTGACAAAGCTACGCATGTTTGCTTCTTGCTTCTCCAACTAATAGAAGCTCCGCTCATCTGGATGTATAACCAGAAGTTGACTTTCGGTCGTTTAAATCGCCTGCCCAATCCGCGTCCGAAAAACCGACACAATCTCGACTAGCATGTTCTGAGTAATGTAGTCCATAATTCACCGTTCCTGACAGATACCGGAAAATACGCTTCACGGCCATCCAATGCTCTTTAGTTGGGTTCGCGGTGAATTTTGCAACATTGTTAACCGCAAATGTTATATCAGGTCGCGTTGCAGATGACAAGTATAACAAACTACCAACTGCTGACTGATATTCTTCTTTGTTACACAGTTCACCATCTTTCGTTGCTTTAACAAGCTTTGAACTCATATCAACAGGAGTCTCGACAGATTTACAATTCTCCATTCCGAATTTCTTTAAAATACTCTCCGTGTAGCTAGGCTGGCCAATCCACACTTTACCGTTCTCTTGAACTACTTGTAGACCAAGAATATAATTAAGTTTTCCCATGTCTTTCACTTGAAATCTTTTCGCAATGCTTTCTTTGACTTTAGCGATCTTTTCATCAGTTTTACCAGCAAGAATGATGTCATCCACGTGAATCGCAACAATGAAAGTATCACCGTTCTCTTCTTTCACGTAAATACAAGGATCACTTTCTGTTTGGATAAAACCAATTGATTTTAAATGTTCATCCAATACCGAATTCCAGCATCTGGATGATTGCTTTAGACCATATAAGCTTTTGTTGAGCTTACAGACTAAGTGCTCTTTCCGTTTAACTTCAAACCCTTCCGGTTGTTTCATATATACTTCATCTTCTAATTCTCCATTCAGGAAGGCAGCCGTTACATCCATTTGGTGCAACTTCAAACCTTTCTGAACAGATAATGCAATGACTGTCCGTATCGATTCGAAACGCACAACTGGGGAGAATGTCTCGTCGTAGTCTACTCCATATCTCTGAGAAAAACCTTGGGCAACAAGTCTTGCTTTATATCTCTCAATTGAACCATCAGCATTACGTTTCAATTTGTATACCCACTTGCATCCAACTGCTCTCCGTCCTTTAGGCAGTTCTATGAGCTCATACACATCATGCTCTTGAAGTGAATTAATCTCTTGTTGCATAGCTTTTCGCCACTGTTCTGCATGTGGACCATGTAATGCTTCACTAACTGTCGTAGGCTCAACATCATCTTCATTAGCAATAGTTACCCATTCACCAAAACGATCAGGTGGACGCCTTTCTCGTGCTGGATGGCGTTGGTTAATCTCAATATCAGCTGCTTGATCATCCTCAACATTATTGTCATCTGACAGTTCGAGAGTTACAAGTTCATCACAAGTTTCATTCTCTTGAAGCTCTTTATTACTGCCAAATTCTCTTTCATTGAATTTTACATCACGACTATAAATAACTCTTGAACTACACACATCATACAAGCGATATCCCTTGGTTTCTGTTCCATACCCAAGAAATACACATTTCTTTGCTTTTGGATCAAGCTTTTTTCTCTCATCTTTTGGAATGTGTGCATACACAGTGCATCCAAAGATTCGTAGGTGTTTGACGTCTGGTTTCACTCCAGTCCAGGCTTCAAACGGAGTCATGTTGACCACTCCTTTTGTTGGACTTCGGTTATGTAAATACACGGCTGTTGCAAGAGCTTCAACCCAAAACCTCTGAGCCAGTTCAGCTTGAATCAGCATAGCTCGGACAGCTTCAACAAGTGTTCTGTTGAGACGCTCAGCAACACCATTTTGCTCTGGGGTTTTTGGTATCGTTAACTCATGTTTTACTCCTTCTGATTTCAGGTAGTTCTCAAATTCAGTTGAAGTGAATTCACCACTATTGTCAGTTCTGAGAGTTTTCAACTTATAGCCACTCGATTTTTCTGCAACTGCTTTCCATTCCAAGAAACGAGTGAAAACTTCGCTCTTTTGCTTCAGTGGATACACCCACACATAACGGGTTTTATCATCGGTGAAGGTTAGAAAGTATTCAGCACCACCACAGGATTTGGTATTTATCTTACCACAGACATCACTGTGCACAATACCAAGTGGCTCTTTCGCTCGCTTTGCACCAGAATTTGGAAATGTACAACGATGCAATTTTCCTTGGGTACATGCATCACAGAATTCTAAATCGTTCTTTGCGTCAAAGTTAAAACCGTCTACTAATTTGTCATTGGACAACTTCTTTAAACTTGGGGCTCCTAAGTGTCCATAGCGTTGATGCCATAACATTTCATTTGAGAGTTCAGTTTCTTCGTTCACAACAGCATTTGAACATTGCAAAATAGGTTGAAAATCCAAATAATACAAAGATCCAACCTTTTTGGCACTAGCAATAACCTTTTCATTGCTACAAGAAATGTTGCATTTGGCTTCCTCAAAGCTAACTGATTTTCCAGCTTCAGTTACTTTTGATACACTTAGTAGATTATAGCTAAGTTTTGGAACCAGAAGTACATTGTAGAGTTTGCATTCTTGCTGACTACCATTTGCAAGGTTACAGTTCACTGTTACAACTCCACTTCCAAATGCTTTTAAGATCTTACCATCTCCGAGCATAACATCCACAGGTTCCTCAAATTCCACAAACTCTTCAAGCAGACCCAAGTTGTTGCACATGTGGCATGTTGCACCAGAGTCAACAATCCATGATTCACTATTAATTCCACATGCACTGGCAGCTAAACTTTGCATAACAAATCCTAAACTTTCCTTACCAGAATTTGATTGTTCAGCTTGGTTTCCTTTGTTCCAGCGTTGCTTTGAGTCTTTACCATCTTTCCCATTTTTTTCATGTTTTTCTTTAGTCAATTCTTTGCAGAAACGCCTTATGTGCCCTAGTTTCCCACAGTGATGGCACTTAATAGACTTTTTATCAGGCTTTAGGCCCTGGCCCTGGGCCATCATCAGTTGTCTACGCGAGCTTTTCGGTGACTTTTCTCGTTCGCCTAATTTCTTTTCTTCATAAAGTAAACGTTCAGTTACAATTTCCATTATTGGAACTTCGGTGCTTGCTTCTAGGGCTGTTACAAGCATATTATACGATTCAGGAAGACTTGCTAACAATGTCACAACTTTGTCCTCATCTTCCATTGGTGCGCCAATCACTGCTAACTCGTTAAAAATTTCCGTCATCGATTTTATATGACCGGACATTGGACTACCGTCTTTCAGCCTTAAATTGTTTAAACGCCGTCTCAAAGACAGTTTGTTAGCCCACGATTTCTTTTGAAATTGGTCAGACAATTTCTTCCATACAGCTACAGGGTCTTCAGGATCTCCGAGCAAATATAAAAGCGAAGGATCAACCGAAAGCACAATAATCGCCAGTGCTTTATCTCTTCGGCCATTAAACTTCGCCAATGCATCAGCTTCTGATGAAGCAGGAGCTGTCTCAGTCCCAGAAACAATGCTCCACAGCCCGTCTTTCACGAGAGCCATACGACATTGGACTTTCCAAGTCCCATAATTCGACCCATTCAACGGAACGACCGTCACAGTTTTTGATTCCGCCATATTTGTTACGCCACGATCATACCACAGTTTAAGTTAAAAAATACACGCTTTTACGGTCAAATTTATCACAACACAATACTCCTAGAGTTCTTCATACCTCAGCCCACTGGTCCCATAACCTGATGAATTTAGTGGATTCACATTATTGCGAGGAATATGAATATATTTATTAGGTAAAATATCGTGACAAAATCACTGAATCGACAACAGAACAAGAACATGAACACGAGGTACTAAAATACATACATCAAACGTTCGAACAAGAGTGACGTCATAAACTATTTTAACAATAACTTATAAAAACGCCCAAAGTCCATGACATAATGGCGGACAACTTTTATTTCGCATTTGCATAACCGGGCGTAATCAAAATCTCCAGTTGGAATTAGTACCCTCGTCCGGTACTTCGCACCGGCTCGGGGATTAAAAAAAACCTGAAAAAAAAGATATCGATAAAAAGATCATTGTATTCGACTGCATCTACAGTTAACAAATATTATTATATAGCAAGTTTCGAAGTTCATCTGTTCCAGGAAACTACGTCACGTGAAAGGCGGGAACGCCGAATGTTTACTGCAAAATCTTGTTTGTCAGTTTGAAACAGTTTGATAAGAGGGTTAATACTTTTAACCACCCTGCGTTGATGAAACTGGAAGTCGTGATGCTATGTCACGTTAAGTGACATAATTACGACTTTTTAACTTCAGAGATCAGCCAAAGTTTCTCTGCCTACGTTTTTGTCTCGTATTTTGACACGTTATTTCTCTGCGAAACTTGTTATATAATACAACACCTTTTAAATTATCTTCCTGGAAACATCGTGTTTTGTGGACCATCGACCACTATGTTTCCATGTGTCCACAAAACAAGATGTTTTCGTCGGGATCGCTATCAACCAATAAATCTTAATTGTCTTACTTAGATTCGTATTATAAACTAAGATACTGTTGTAGTAAACATTATCACTGGCATTGTATACGATGGCATAATACACGAGATTTCCGATTCCTGAGTTAGTTCCTTTATAATCAATGCTGGTATTTCAACTATAAAGCTTTTGTAATCGTTCACAATTTATAGAGAAAAGTTCTTGAAGCGTCATTATGGAATTTAAACGCGAAAAACTGCCACTTGTTATCGACAGAAACAAGGCTAATGAATGGTTGGCTACGTTGATCCAGGAATTAAGGAAAAACGAGAAGGATAAAGTGGACCTGATGTTTAAATTATATCCGCCAGCTGTTGATGAAAATTCAGCCAAAAATAATAATCGTTATCCTGTTGTTGAGAAAAGCGAGATACATCTTCATCCTCCTGTTGAAGCATTGATGAATGCAATCTTACGAGACCCAGGTAACCACTGCATGAAAAGTCGAGTATGTATAATGACAGCCTGGAACACTCGCAAATAATCACATATCAATGATGGTTTTAAACCTTTTTATTCGATCTAAAAGTTAATCAATTTACGATATAATTATAAGTTTAAAGGAATAAACCAGGGAATGTAGTCTTACTTTGAGGTGAGTTTCCAGATGTGTTCAGCCGACAGGCGGCCGAATAGCACAAAGGTATGAAATTTAATACCAACGCGAAGTCCCTTGTCCTCTCTTCAACATGAATTTTTTATAAGTTCAATGTGCTTATTGTCACGTAACTGATTATGCGCTATAAAAATACATTGCTCGAAATGAGCTGTACAAACACCGCGATTTGCGAGTGTTCCGGGCTCACCTGTTATTACAGAGCATTCACAGGTGATTACGTGCGAATATAAATTCGAATATGCATGGTCACAAGTATTCACAGATATTTACTGCAAATATCCTCCGAATATTAGTGCATTCCAATGTGAATACCGGTTGATAAATACCATATTCTCACCTACCAATACTCTACCGAATATTGTGTGAATATATTTGAGGTAGCATATCCACAATTGGTCACGTTTTTAAGTGCTGTTTAATAAGTATAAAATAAGGGAGGCATTATTCACTGAAAAAAATTGCCGGTAATTTGTTTACACTGCTGTTTGCACTTTTTGTAAACGATAGATTTTATGAAACAACTCCTTGTCTTTATGCCGATTATACACAGATACTCTCTTCTTCTGATAATTTCACTGATCTTATAGATAAATAAGCTTTTACCTTAATAAAATCATTGCATGAGTATAAAATATACAGCATCATCCTATACTAAGAAAAATATCATGATTATTGGATCGCAATACAACCTAAGAAATAAGGTCCGTGGTAATTAGCAATTATTGAATGAGGTTGAACATGATATGAAGAATTATCAAGCCGAAGTTTGTCATTATCAGCCGAAGCCGAAGGCTGAGGTTGATAATGACAAAGTGAAACTTGATAATCCTTCATATCACGTGAAAACCGAATTCAATAAATGTTTTATTATTTATTTAAAAGAACGAACATGTATTCCTCAAAGTTGCCGAACCTTTCACTTGAGGAAGCCATTGTGTTGATGTCTTCGCCATTCGTGTGACGTCAAACGTGGGATACGACTATTTATCACACTAAAAAAAGTGGTATCACACGGTATGACGTCACACGTGGGCTATGACGAGTTCACACATGGCTATTAGCCAATCACAGACTGTGAATTCTTTTAAATAAATAATAATAATTATTGGCATTATAAGGTCAAGAGGATACCTACAGTACTGTCCAGAAATAACCTAAGAAAAACTGCGGTTAACCTAGGTCAAACGTCGGTCTGATCACGGTTGAACCCAGGTCAGACCGAGGTCGAACGGCGGTGAGACGGTGGTTGAACGTCGTCCTAACTCGGTCTGAGATTTCTTGAGATTTTTTCGATTTGGTTATTGTGTAGTCGCTCTCAGCTGTTCATAACATTCCGCTTGGAAGCGAAGGACAACTGCGATCGTATTTTTCCGTTGCCAAACCGCAACCTCCTAGACAGTATTTGTATGTTGGCAACGGGGAAAACGCTTATAAAAGGTCAAATAGTCAACATCACACAAGCAGAAATATATCCCTTGATTAAGACTTAGCTGTCTCGTTTCACCCCAATAGTACGAGCTCAACTGAACAATCTCAGAGTCAAAGTATTTTAAAAATCTACAAAAATTCCACGTGGGACTTGAAAGCCTGCATGTGTTATAAACCCCATGCAGTTAACCAATATATTTTATAACATAAACGCAATATTAAAGAAGTAAAAACTGCTTAATTAAGACAGACATGTATTTACGTACCTTCGTTTGTCGATCAACCATCGTTACAGGATTAAAAATGTAATAATTTCTCAAGTTGCGGAGCAAAATAAAACCCTGTTATCGCCAAAGTGATCTCCGAAAATACATGTTAAGAGTGATTAATGATCGATTATGATCATTTTACTCCGGCATGTTGATATTCCTATGCCAGTTGATATTCCTATTTTTATAACTATATAATTTTATTTTAATTTGCATATATCTGAACACAATAAAGCCTTCCATACCAATATTTACTCAACTATATCTACTCCGACGCCACTGGCGATGTAACAGCAATTGTGACATAATAATGCCAGCATGTGTTGTTGTTTTACAGAGATCAATATGTTTTTTCACCAAATATTCTGGCAACAACAAGAACTGTCAGATAACAAAGAAAATCCCATTTGGTGTTGGCAAATCATGATCCTTCTCTTCGACATGATTATGACTAGAGCTCCTGAATTCAATCGAGATGAGATTTATATCTCACCAATTTACGTGGCATTGAGTTTGGCAATGGCTACAAAAGCTGGTTTTTCTGCGTTTTGTAGCGACAAGGTGAGCATGGAGGGAAAATGTGTTGTTACACGTTCCCAAATGAGACCGATATTTAGACCCAAACTATCGGTCCATCAACTGTTCCTTGCTTATATATATATATATATATATATATATATATATATATATATATATTTATATATATATATATACACCTGTTTGAAAAAACGTTGGCCGCAGATAGATATATAGATAGATACCCAAAATCTAATTAGAATTGCATATGTTGTGTAATATGATTGCAATCCCATGCAAATGTAATCATATGCAATTCTAATTAGACTTCGAGTATCTATCTATCTATCTATCTGCGGCCAACGTTTTTGCAAATGGGTGTATATATATATATATATTATATTATATATATATACATATATATATATATATATTTATATATATATATATATATATATATATATATATATATATATTTATATATTTATTCATTCGCCTGATGATCGTTCCTCTATTAAAATTTTGATATCGAGCACTCTTTATATATATACATATAGTGATAGTGAGTAGCGTCACCAAAATAAACAATTGATTGATGATTGCAAGATGCATCAAATTTTAAGTATCAATTAAACTGTTTTAAGTTTAAATAAATAGTTAAAGTTGACGACGTTTTTATACCCCCGCCCCCTGCATATTAACGGCACAAGACCAGAATATGACTCGGTAATTTTTTTAGTAATAAAAAAAACCTAACACGAAGAGATATAAATTTCCTATATCACATCTTAAAATGGTGATAAAGGAAAATGGTGCATAACTATTCTTTGCAACTATTTTCAAGGTAAACAAATTACTGAAAGACATTTTGAATTACTGGGGCGAGTTCCTTTGCAGTTCAGCATCTACCTACGTCTTAAACGATGATGAACATTCAGGTTGGTTTGGTAAAGACGCAATGGAGGTAATGCCAAATTTCACAGAAGAATATGAATGTGACTCAAGTAAACTTCACTACGGCTTTACATCCTGGGATGATTTTTTCGCAAGAAAATATCGAGAAGGAATACGGCCTGTTGAAGCACCAGATGACAATAGTGTTGTAGTGAATGCCTGCGAGTCTGAACCTTTTAAAATTGCCTATGAAGTGAAGCAACGAGATTTGTTCTGGATTAAAAGTCAATATTATTCTTTAGGTAAGCAATGACAGTTGGTATTGGTGGGTATTGCGCGGTCAAAACTTCCTAGCAAGGTTTTTACCACCAATTTTGGAGTGTGCGAAAATGTCTTTGAAATGAATTTACTATTTTTTATGATGCAAATCATATTCATCAATTTAACTCAGTGTGTAGCAATCGAATTTCAGCGTGTTTACGTGAATCTTTAATAATTCCATAAGGTTAATGCTTTCTAAAGAATAAGCTATATGATTTAAACACTAACAATACGCTGACCTCTACCTAACTCAGGTCGTTGTAGCGTACGTGTGTCTAACAATTTGTGTCTATCGACCCAAGGCAACAAAGAGATTACGCCAACTAGCCATGGCCAGAAATTGCGGACATGGAATATGCAGATTGCCGTAGCAAATTTGCATATCTGTTCAAATATCATTCGTTGCAGAACTATAAAATATATTACGCATTCTTAAATTTCGCAAAATTTAAGAAAATCATTGCATCTTTGCAATTTGCCCTGGTTGTTTCTTGTAATTCGTGTCATATTACAGATGCTGAGGTAATATTTTGCTGGTAAAGGTTTATGTCGGCTCTGCATTTTTATTTTATTTCTACGCTATTACGGTATTCGTTTTATATGGTATACAACGTGATAAATGACAAAAACTTTGTTTTGAAAATGCAGGACGAATACTGATAAAACGTTTTGAAATACTATATAAAAATATTAAGATTAACTTGCTCTGCAACGAGCAATTAAGGCAAATTATAATCGACCTGCCTAAAGGTGTATTTTTAGCGATTAGTACTGTGCACATTACAGTTTACTATAAACTCACGAATACCTCTGATATGAAAGGTCGATTACTGGTGTAATTATTATTTACTTGCGTATGGCGTGCAGGGTTCTCTTTTTGGGTGGTTCTAGATCTTTTTCAGGCTGGTATGTTATCGCACAGAAAACCTCGTAGTCGCTTACTCCATTTCCTATTGTTTCCGTTTTTAACGTATACTACCGCGTGCCACAATCCTAGCAGCTATACATCTGATTGACTAGCCTATAGTCACTGGCGTCGCTAGTACTCATAACTGGGTTGGAGATATTTATGTATTCATGTATTCATGTTCACAACAATCGATTTGAAAAGAAATAAATGATGTAAAACCAAAATGTATAAAAATGTAAGCCCATCTAGTAAGCTGGCAGCGCCACTGCTTATATAATCAGGAATAAATTAAATTCACGAAAATGTGTTTCACGAGACACAATAAATTGTTAAACACATGTTTTTTATGTTATTCCAGAATATTTGTCGTTCGCTACTTGGCTGGGTGGTTGCTATTATTGTTTTATTCTGAAGCGCTCTTGAAATATTTTTGTTCTACCCGGTTAAGGCCCTGTCACACTGTTGCGTATGATAGGAACGTATGAGTCGCGTATAAAGATCATTTCATTCATTTTTATACGCACGAAAAAGTCCGTAAAAATAGACATTTTGCATAAAATTAACTTATTAAACGTATGGGTATCGTAAGAGTAGCCTGTCGCTGGCGTATGCCAGCGTATGAACAGCTTACGAGAAGCGTTTGGAATGCGCATGTCAAGCATACCACTGGCGTTTCACAGACTTTAATCGTATGTAAGCGGCAGTATTTTCACACGGCTCCATTCGAGAAAATGTCAAACCTACAGTGAAAAAAGAAGAAGACACCATGGCAAATAAGAAGACATCATCTACCCGCGGACGAAGAAAAGGAAAGAGGACTCCATCATCAGCCGTTGCCAAAGCTGACGAACAACGTGTTTGTGCACCTGCAGATGTAGTTGAACCACCTGATGATGATGCACTTATTCCTGAGACATCTTTAAATAATGCGCCACATGTTCCTGAGCTCTCAAAGTCCCCAACACAACCTTCCCAAGACTCCCATAATTCATCGGCTTTATCATCTGAAACCATTAATGACTTCACCTCCTTCCGGCGGGCTGATAGCAAGAAGAAAATTAGAGGAAGAGGGCGAAAAAAAAACCCCTACAACCTCAGCGCCACAGAAGAGGAGCTGATGCTGGAGTTTATCATGGACAATCCTGTGCTGTGGAATGTGAAGATGACAGATTATAGGCGAAAAGACAAGAAAGAGAAGATCTGGGAAGAGCAAGCACATCAGATGAATAAGACTGTTGACATCCTCAAGGGCTGGTTCAGATCGTTGCGCGACACCAATATACGCCTTGACAAGAAGAAAAGCGGGGATAGTGCTCCAAACCTGACTAAGAGAGAACAGTGGATCCTCTCAAAGTTTGCCTTCCTGAAGACTGTCACTCGCCACCGACCGGAGCCCATGCAGAGTGTAAGTATACAACCATATTACCTTAGCAACATGATAACCAAGTAATTTGAGACAATTTCCACATGATATTTTTGGTCTTTTTAGGTGAAGGAAACCATCCAGCTTCACAGAGGAGATCTCAATGCTGCCGAGAGCGCCTGCGCTGATATGCAGGATGTCTTAGATGAAGTCACTCCAATACCATCATCTACCGCTGGAAGGTCCCACAAGCGACCTCAGGACACAGAGAGTGACGTCCTTGAGACTCTACAGAAGAGAGTTGCTGAGTCTGGCACCATCCTCAAATACATCTACAAAGCCAAACAACAGCCCATTACAGCACGAAGTGTCTTTGCAAATTATGTTAAAGAGAGCCTTTTGACTATGTCCAAGTCCAAGTACAAGAAGGCAATGTCCTCCATCAATAGGTTATTGTCTGAACTCATGGATGAGGACAGCGATGATGAATTTCCAAGTGCAATGGCGGCTCCATCTATCAAAGTAAACCAACAAGAGATCCCTTCTCAACCACCCCACGATTTGCACCCTACTACAAGTATTCCCTTCTGTTCATTTAGAGCATCAGCACCATCCTTCTCTGAGCATTATCAGAAACCTAGCAACATGCCTATAAACATGCCCCTGGCATCGTTGGTGAGAGGCTCTCAGCCCATGGAGTACATGCAGCAGTTTCACCAGCGGTAATTTCAGTATCCACATCATCACAAGACTACCACTAAACAACAGCAGATGATTCCTCCTTCCCAACAACTTGCTCAGCAACCGTTTCAGCAAACTCAGCAACAATGCACTCCTACCTCTGGCCCGGTTCGTGCCTCTTTGGCTTCTGCAACAGAGTTAATAACGGAAACGTCTAGCCCAACGCCGCACAGTCCAAGCTCAGCCTTTGAGCAAAGTCACCCGAACATTACTAGTCTTTCAGGATTTCGAGACATCATGGAATCTACTGATGATATTGGATTTCAGGATGAGGTTCTCAACCTTCAACCACCAACGTGAAAGAAGTATTGACTATAGACCACGGCGGCTGTATGGCTTCATCATTGTCTCTCGGAGGGCAAAGGCATCATCACCTACAAAGAAGTAGGGGACACTCTGATAGTCATTTGGTAAAGCATCGGGGATGGGGGATCCTATAGTTCCGTCTTCTGTTAATTCTTTGATTTCAGAGTTGTTGTAGATCTGTGCGTCCGATGATGACCCTTTACCACGGAGGTCTGCCCAGATGAATTTATAATCTGCGTCTACAAGGCCCATGAGTACAACAGAGTAGAATCCCTTGTAGTTGAAATATTGGGATCCACTTTTTGGTGGACACTTGCAGGTAATGTGCTTTCCATCTATAGCACCACATGTATGGGGGAAGTTCCACCTATTGAGGAACTTATCAGATATGGCACGCCATCCCTCTGGCGTGGTAGGGCAGGTCATTACTTCGGACAAGTATTCGTCGATGATGGCTTGGCAAACCTCTCTGACAATAAGTGACTGGGTGTTGTGGGGGACCCTCCATCCGTACTTCATGGCTGAATACGTGCTCCCAGAGGCAAGGTTTCGCAAAGTCAAAGAGAGCTTCAGCCCAGGCTCCAGGGGTCGCCTATACTAGGTATGTTTCTTGGTGATCCTGGGACTCACTCTTGCCAGAAGCTCATCAAACATCTCGGGGACCATCCGCATAAAGTTCTTAAAACATCGCGTATCCTCGCTTCGAAGTTCCACCAGAAGTTGGTCGTAAATGAACTGCCTTCGCCTTCCGATCCATGATCTCTTCCATACCTCACGTCTTTTTCTTTTTCCTTTTCTCCTTTTCCTTCTGTTATTTTCTATGTGACGAATCGTCAAAGCTATGAGATCAAACTGGTATTCAAGAACAGCTAACTCCATCCTTTATCCTCGAAGGTACAAGATGATATGAAGGCATCCAACATAAATATATATTATACACAATAAATGACATGCTATATATTTATATACCCTTTCTCGTAACGTTTGCAATACTCTGAGGATACGACGACCAGGCGTTAAATATACACTAATTGTACGGTAAATGCGTTACTTAATCGTCAGTCATACGCTAAGCCCTCTATAGACGTTAAACATACGTCACACATAAGTTAGACCTTCGTTACTGATGCGCTATCAACACGTTAGTTGTACGGCACACTTACTCATTTGCGTATGATTAGCGTACTCAACCTATTAGTACAGTACATTTAGCGTCCTTCTGCCGTATTCAGCGTATGACTAGCTTATCTTTACCGTATAAACCATACGTCCAAACACGCACAAGATTTTTAAGCATGCTTAAAAAAAATTTTCTTCCTCGGCGTATACCAGCGTATGTGACCGTGCTTGGAACGTGTATAACTTACGCACGACGTACCACCAGCATATTTCAGCGTATTCCGGCGTATGCGTGATATTTATCACACGGTGCCATACGCTAATGTGATACGCAACAGTGTGACAGGGCCTTTATAGAATGTGGACATCGCCAATGCCTAATAACTGGCCATTTCACAATTTAGTTTGAATATTTACTTATATAGATCACATGTTGAACAACGATGACCTGGCTAAGAATTTTTATGGTGGAACAGTGTACCAAGCCTTCTTGAGTTCATACAGCTACCATCGATGGCACAGTCCTGTTTCAGGCTATATTGTGAAAACTGAGCTGGTGGACGGTTCATATTATAGCCAAACACAAGATCTTCCAAGCGATGCCTTGATTAGTGAGCACCAGGGCTATCTCTGCCATGTCGCTGCACGTGGTATTATTTATATAAATGCTGATAATCCTGATATTGGTCTGATGGTTTTCATTTCAATAGGAATGAATGAAGTCTCCAGCAACGAGATCACCGTGAAAGTCGGAGATCACGTTAAAAAGGGAGATGAAATTGGTGCTTTCCATTTTGGTGGCTCGAGTCATTGCCTCGTTTTCCAGCCTTGGGTGAAAATTATGTTTCATCTACATGGTGCTGCTAGTACGCCTAGTGGGTTCTCCAATATTCCAGTTAAGTCAAAAATTGCCGTTGTCAGTAAGGCCAGAATGTAATGAAAAATGTAAAAAAATCATTATATCCGAGCTTGCTCCAATTTGTTATATGAAATACTAAATTTGGGAACTGTAATTTAGTGCGATTAAATTCTGCAATTGGTACAAACGCCTGCGTGTGTTTAGCCTTAAAGATGGATTTCCATTCAGTGCGAAATTTCGAGGAAAAAATGAGGCAAATCGCGTTTCTGAGTTTAATCACTTTTACACGGGCCCCCATATTGCGGCAAAAATCACGCAATTCGTGGAAGTTTTAGGTGCTGAAAATGGAAACGGATAGGTAGCCGAAGTACCGAATTGTATTTTACTGTATTAGTGTCATTGGTTTTTACTGGTAGTGGAAGTAGATCTTGACCTCCCTACTGAGAAAACCGCACAAACAGATCACACAGACTGAACACCGCAGAAAAACGTCTGCTTGTAAGTGACATTAAAAACAAGTAAAAAGCGGTTCCAAAGTTTGTCTTGTGCCTTATATTATTCTATTGCAGCCATCTTTGATTGCGAAATCCTGGCATTATGAACTTTTATGGTAACTAATGTCCTGAATTTCTGCATGGTGATCGTTTCTATTTCATTAACTGTTGCTGTGTTCACGTCTATAGTCGAAATCGCGATTTGTGTCCGTTCTTCTGTCTATTACAGATCTCCTGGGGGTTTTTTTTACGGAATGAGGGGGAGCGCTGCAATTTTAATATATTCTATACGTTGATAAAAATCGGAAGAAATGTTTTTAAATAGGCCCATCCATATGGCTGATTTACATAAAAGTATTAAGTAATGAATGAACATTTGTGTTCAATATATAGGTAAGCATTAGGGCGGTTTATTCGAGTAAAAATAAGCCGCGGCTTAAATAAGTTGCGAACAGCACGTTTATATTATTCCAAATTGGAACCATGAAACACAATGAAAACCATGAAACAAACAAAAAATCAAACTTCTTTCAAATTCGCTCTGCATCTGCAGTGATCTCGCGAGTCATCCGCGAATGAAGCCAAAAATTTGCGAGACTTTACCTCCAGACACGCGTGTCTTGGGGTAAAAGCCTGGTTTCCATATGACGCCGACGTCGGCAAAGTATTATTGTCGGTGATTACTGATGAGTGAAATCTTTTGTCTTTCTGAAATCATTTTCTCCTTGGATGATTACAAACAATGAGTCGGCGACAGGTCGGCGTCATATGGAAACCAGGCTAAAGTCCCGCAGATTTTGGCTTCATGAAAACAATGAGGAGGTATCGTTCCAGTTATTTATTACATTTCACTGTGCTATGCTAATATTTTGGTGTTCATTTACTGTGAAAACAATAAATTTCTAAAGAAATGAATAATTATAATAACATAAAATTTGCATAGCATGAATAAATCGTCAGTCTCTGGCTACGCCACTCCTTGTAGCCAAACATTTACGCTTAAAGGCCTTTTCAGCTTGTATGCAAATTAACTTATTTCAAGTCATATGTTCTGAAATGGTTAAATTTTATTGGCTATTTCATGGTCATAAGGCAAAGTGCCATGCAAGCTGAAAAGGTATAATCAGAGGCCGCGGAGGATCGTTAAAGTCGGGAGCATTTATTAATGTATTCATGTTAGCAGACCGTAAAAACAATCAGTTATTTCAATAGAAACTAATAATGCTGAACATAAATACAATGTATAAGAATATTTGCCAAATTAAACGATCTTTCGCGACCCCGGTTAAAAACCTTATCAAAATGTCTATTTAACAAATTCGAGAAACTGTAGTGAGCTACCCTATAAAATAAAAGCACCTTCATCGTTCGAGCGTTAAAGCCTGGTTAGTTATCGTGTATATAGACTTCGTCCATTTTCCTTTATTTGCATGGTCGCGTCTGGTGTTCGTAACTTTGGTGACGCCATACTCAAACAACTTTCTTTTTCTCCATTGTTTTGCACTTTTAGCGCAGTGGAGTAGGGAAAGTCACGATAAATTACACAGCACTACTGGTTATTCACTTCAAAAGAATATATTTTCACACAAAAATCTACCAATTTTACTGCAAGTTAGAGCTGTGGTAATTCTCACTTATCCTCTCGACCAGTCAGCATGCCGCATACTTTAATAAACTAACTATGGTTGGGTGTTATGAGTATGCATATAATTATAGATTATTATATTGCAAATATTTCAAGTGCATGAAACAGATCAGTGTTTATTCGACTGCATCTGCAGCTAACGAGTATTATCTTAGATATATACGTATTGTAAACAAATGCACTGTTGTAGTAAACGTTATCACATTATATACGATACGATATCTTAACACAAGAGATGGCCGATTCCTAAATGTATAATTCCTTTAAGATAAATGCTGGTATTTCCACTACAAAGCTTTTTGTAATCATGGCCGTATATAGCTAGAAGCAACAAGGGCAGATTTCGTTCTAAGCCAATCAGCGCGTTTGTTGACATTTTTGCTCTCCGCCAATCAGAATGCTTGAAAATAAAAATTGTAAACAAAAGGAGCGAGAAAATATTGCCGTATTCTAAGGCATCCGTGAGCCAGAATATTTACTTTTTATATTCGAAACCGAAAGAATGCAATAAAACATAAATATATCTTGAATTTTGCCGTGGGGTTTTTTAAATTTCAAAACATAACGTGAAATATCGACGTTTGAATTACTGCAATGATGGCGCTCTATGGCTGCAATATATCGTTAATATATCGATAAATTATTTGGGGAATAATGTCGGTTTCCTCTCAGGATTCTCCTTTCCGTCTCATGTTTTCATTTCAGTTCTGGATAATGCTACTTGGAATGAGTTGGATCTTTGGGACAATGAAAACACCATGATATAAATAATAACCATTGTTCGGAGCTTGCTAAGATGTTTTTTCACGCTCAGTGGACATTCTGTCAGAACATATGGCACTGTTTACGCAATAGTAGAGATTCACAGCACCAGCATCCCTGCATATCACCTCAAAGGCATTGGGATCCATTTCTGGTTGGGAAAAATTACCAATGTGAGACTTGATTTTTCTAAGATCATCACTGAAATTTCTTGAGCAGTGAAGAATAATCATCTGCAGAGAGAAATACACTGTCAACTCTTTGGCACTCTTTGTCTGCAACATCCAATATTTTTCCTGTATAAAAATCTTGATTGTCGATGGTATTTGCTTGGCTGCATGGGTGTTAAAGTTATTGTTGTTGTGTCACTTGTTTGGCTCTATGATGCTTCTTGTTTAAGTGCTTGATCTTCTACATTATGTTGACTTTCAGCAACCTTATCAGTGGCTATAATTATATCACCAGCCTGGCTATTAGATTGTTCTTGCTTCTCATTCGATTTTTGGCTGGATTCAAGGTGATGAATGGATGTAGTACCAGTACATTCAGGATTAACATGCATCTGCAGCAGAGTATAGTAAAGTACAGTAAGTTAGCTATAATTATTATATTAATTTACCATAATTAACATGTTGGAGGGTGGAAGGGAGGTGTATAGGATTACTTATATAATTTTATATTATAATGAATGTAACTCTCAATTTAATTATAATTTAATTATAACTCTCATCCCCACACATTCCTTCCCCTTTTCCCCATCATCTTCGCCCACCTTACTCTCTACCTACTACATTACACTACTAGGTTACAATTAGTAGCATCACAAATAATTTACAATTTACTTGATCATAGATCACAATATAAGATTAGGCATTCAGATGAAGTTTGAGGAATTAAGGCTGTGTTCTGATTGAGTGCCCGGCAATTGTGCTGGCACTTTTTCTGGTGCCTAGGCTTCACACAATCATCTAAATGAAATTGGCATAATGGCATGGTACCCAGGAATGGGCACTACCTCCAGATGTATAATTAAATTGAGAGTTACATTCATTATAATATAAAATTATATAAGTAATCCTATACACCTCCCTTCCACCCTCCAACATGTTAATTATGGTAAATTAATATAATAATTATAGCTAACTTACTGTACTTTACTATACTCTGCTGCAGATGCATGTTAATCCTGAATGTACTGGTACTACATCCATTCATCACCTTGAATCCAGCCAAAAATCGAATGAGAAGCAAGAACAATCTAATAGCCAGGCTGGTGATATAATTATAGCCACTGATAAGGTTGCTGAAAGTCAACATAATGTAGAAGATCAAGCACTTAACCAAGAAGCATCATAGAGCCAAACAAGTGACACAACAACAATAACTTTAACACCCATGCAGCCAAGCAAATACCATCGACAATCAAGATTTTATACAGGAAAAATATTGGATGTTGCAGACAAAGAGTGCCAAAGAGTTGACAGTGTATTTCTCTCTGCAGATGATTATTCTTCACTGCTCAAGAAATTTCAGTGATGATCTTAGAAAAATCAAGTCTCACATTGGTAATTTTTCCCAACCAGAAATGGATCCCAATGCCTTTGAGGTGATATGCAGGGATGCTGGTGCTGTGAATCTCTACTATTGCGTAAACAGTGCCATATGTTCTGACAGAATGTCCACTGAGCGTGAAAAAACATCTTAGCAAGCTCCGAAACAATGGTTATTATTTATATCATGGTGTTTTCATTGTCCCAAAGATCCAACTCATTCCAAGTAGCATTATCCAGAACTGAAATGAAAACATGAGACGGAAAGGAGAATCCTGAGAGGAAACCGACATTATTCCCCAAATAATTTATCGATATATTAACGATATATTGCAGCCATAGAGCGCCATCATTGCAGTAATTCAAACGTCGATATTTCACGTTATGTTTTGAAATCTAAAAAACCCCACGGCAAAATTCAAGATATATTTATGTTTTATTGCATTCTTTCGGTTTCGAATATAAAAAGTAAATATTCTGGCTCACGGATGCCTTAGAATACGGCAATATTTTCTCGCTCCTTTTGTTTACAATTTTTATTTTCAAGCATTCTGATTGGCGGAGAGCAAAAATGTCAACAAACGCGTTGATTGGCTTAGAACGAAATCTGCCCTTGTTGCTAGAAGCTTAATTGGGGGGAGGGTGTATATTCAAATATTCGTTTTATGCCCGAA